GTATTGTTCAACGGCGTTATTATAGTTGTATCTGTGATTACAACAAACTCTCTAACACAGCGAGCATTACAAAAGTAACAATGAGTATTCGTTGGCATCATAAAAGTGGCAACGTGTGTTCGTTGACATCTCAATATATATATATATATATATATGTATATATATAGTTTATGAAAAACTAGGTAATGCGTATGGGTAAACCCAAGGAGGATAAAATCCAGAGAGCTCAATGAAAATCCAGAACATATAATTTAAATAAAAACAGACCAGATCATCTGCGGATCATCAGACTTTACTTCCAAAGGTTGAATTTTTCAACCTTTGGAAGTAAAGTCTGATGATCCGCAGTTCTTTAAAAGGGCTGTGGTGAAATAATTTATTACATGGAATCTTAAAGTGGTCTGTCTTTATTTAAATTTATATATATATATATATATATATATATATATATATATATATATATATATATATATTCAGTAAAAATTTTGCTCGAAGATAGAACAGAGCTTAGTACTTTAATTCAATTTAATTCAAATAAGTATATTAAAGTTTTCGGCTTTTGTTTTGAAACATGAGAACTCTTATGTAGCGTTGGAATCATATTTTTTAAATAAATAATTATATTTAGGCTCTACTTTTGTATCGAGCACTGTTTTTAAAAATAATAACAAAAATACTAAAAGAACTTTGGATTATTTACCTAACGAGTTCTTTCCTATTTTCTATATATTTACACACACACACACACACACACACACACACACACACACACACACACACACATATATATATATATATATATATATATATATATATATATATATATGGACATTGAAGTCAATATCCAAATAGCGGAAACTAATTTGAAGACTTCCAACAGTAACAGTAATTGAAATGAATAGCACGTAAAACTAGAAGGGAAAAATGGTTCAATCAAGACTTTTACTTTCCACATTACCTTAAACAAAAGCTAATACGCGATCTTCTAGCTTGAATGTCAGTAATTAATTAAGGCTTGAGTTTTTCAGCTTTCATAACGACGAACGGACAACACTGGTGAAAGGTCCACGGAAAAACTAAAAAAAAAAAAAACCTATTTTTTCGAACTAAATCGGCTCCGAAAAGACTAGTTTTTAGATTTTATTAAACTTTAAAATATTTTTTTATAAAAGTTTATTAAAACTTTATTTGTTAATAAATATTTTCCCAATTTTGAAGTATCTATTTTAAGAAGGGAAAATGTTGCTCATTTTCTGGAGGAAGCCTTCAAAATTTTATAGCAGACAAACAAATATTATTTCTCTGAAAATTCAAAAACCTACAGCGTGTTTGTGATAACGCCGCTGATTGGTTAATAAATATGAATAGATAAATTCAAATCGAAGACTATAAAATGCACAAAAAATGAGTCGACTTCTTCGTGAGCCTGTTTCGTGAAAAATTGGTTGAAAATTGACCAATAAAAACGAATTAATAAACTTCTACTCCCATCATAACAACAAAATAAAATCCGGAATGATCATTGGATTATATTTAAGAGCACTCCGAATTTGCAGACCTCACTATTTATAAGAAGTGGAGAAATATATTAAAAATACTTTCAAGAACCTTCAATACCCTATTTCATTTTCAATGAGAAATAAAAGGCTCATAGAATATTCCAAAAAAGAAGAGCGACGCTTCCTGGCAAACATAACGAATCAAAAAAATCTATTATTCTAGCAACTAACTTTATCACAACTACAACCGAAAAGAATTTATTTAAACTCAGCATAAAATTTGTCACAACTACATTTAAAACAATCAAAGATTTAATCAATTTAAACAAAACAACCAACCAAAACTTGAAGGAGGAATTTACTCTATCAAATGCAGGAATTGCCAGGATGAATACATTGGAGAAACCTCAAGAATGAACAAAAAAGAGACATTTTAAATAACAACACGCAAAATGCATTGGTTGTTCACCGTAATAAAATGGGCCACCATTTTGACATAGAGAATGCTACTTTTTTAAAAGAGAAAATAATCCATTGAGACGAAAATATCTGGAAAGTGCCTTGATCGCTAGTTCAGCCACAATAAATTTGCGCCCTGGCTTTTACAATATATCACCTTTCTTGGTAGATTTTATAGTATTACAGTGAGGGATAGTCAGGGACAAAGGTGATGGGGAGATAAAGAAAAAGAAAAAGAATATTGATGATTTCGTCTCTTGTTTCGTGCGCATGTGTAGACGAGGCAACTTCAACAAAGCCCAGTCCTATGAAATCGTAACGGACGAAACGCGTTACAAAAAAAGAAAAAAAAACTTTTTCAGTTTGTCATATATATATATATATATATATATATATATATATATATAATATACACACACACACACACACACACACACACACACACACACATATATATATATATATATATGCAGCATGTCTTCATTCAAATATGTTTCATCGAATAATATAGACATATTGTTCTATAATATTTTTATATCTATTTTTATACTGATCCTTTCCAGTTTTTCTAATCAGTTCCTTGATGTTTAGATGAAATTCATTAAGGAAGGCGCCGTAGTTTTTTTTTATAACCAAGTACTTTCGATCATTTCCAAGATTATCTTAAGCGTTAAATTCCAAAGACAAAATTTCTGTAACTGCTATAAAATCTGCATATCATGAGAGTGATTTTTGATGAACATGTGTAAACAGTCACTGTAGTTATTTTAAAATTTAAAATGTATCCGTTCTAACTATGAAAGTTTTTGCAAAACAAGCGTTTCGGTATAAGGGAGCTGACCGGGAATTGGTAGAAATGAAAATGATATTAATTTTTTGTTATGTGCACTTCAATGCATTGTTGCTACACTCGTAATAAATTTTGTTGCGTGTTTGTTGGTTGATTTTGATATAGGGGACTTCGACAGTTTTAAGTTTTTGTTTATTATTTTCGTGGTGTATTTTACTGGCATTGTTAACAAGTATTTTCCTGTATTGTGAAGGTGGACAGGAATGTGTTTTTAGATGTGCAATAGAACTTGTATCCGACAAGTGAAGGGTAAGACGTCTTGAAAATGTTGTGTTCCCCAAGACAATGTATGTATTCATTTATTTGTCAGAGATACAATCACTCAAAGGATACGTAAACTGATATACAATATTGGCTTATTCCAAAACAATATTTGACGGAGAAGAGCTATTGTGTAAGTTTCTAACAGTTGTGTTACATTTAGTATAATATAGAATTACGTTTATCTTTTATTGGGATTTGTGGTGAATATATTAGTACTTATGAGTTTTTAGGACTTTTTCATCTTATAGTTAGAATGCATTTGATACGCTTTATATAGAGGGCGCGAATGGTAAATTGTCGCCATTTTATATTTTTAATTTCGCGCATGCGCGTTGTTAGTTTTTCATTTTGTTGACTGCATGGTATAATAGAGTTAACTGAGAAGCGTCTGTGAGAAAATGTCTCAATTCACTCCGCCTGAAAATTGGAAACGGTGGGGCTGTACAGCTTGGCATTCGCACCGGAAGCTCCAATACGGATATTTTCAGAGTGTTTGGGTGTCAATCTGAGGACAATTCAGAAGATTGAGAAAGAGTTGAATGAGTCTAATGTCGATTACGAAGGTGTTTGGAGTGATCCCGAGTGATAGCGACGTTATGGCTCCGTTCATCTTCCCACAGTGCGGACTGAGGCTCAACACGGAGGCCTACATTAATTTTCTCGAGGAGTCAGTGCTGCATTGGGTCAAGTGGGTAACTGTTAAAAGACGCTATGTCTGGCAACAGGACTCTGCACTATACCACACAAGCAGGAGAAGCCAACCATGGCTGTGAGACAATTTCTCCGGCCACATACACCTAACTTCCCAGACTGTAATCCCCTTGAAGTGTGGGGTGCAGTTGAGCGAGAGACCATCAAAACTTCTTGCAACACTAAAGATGAACTGAAAGCATGCATTAGGGCAGCATTCACCAACTTAAACAAGGAGACCATCCAGAAGAGTTTCAGGAGATTCCAAAGTCACCTGAAGGCCATGGTTGAAGCCAATGGCGATTTTATCGAATAAATGTACTCTTTAGTATTTTAAGATATTTTTGTGTAATTTTTGTAAATATATCTGTTAAATTGAGATGTCCGTGTTACTTTTATTAGGTTGGTGCAAAAATAATGACGTAATAATGTCGTTTTTTGACGTATTTTTAACGTCAAAAAACAACATTAATACGTCATTACTTTTGCACCAACCTAATATTTTTGTGTAAGTTAGATGGCAACTTATTCATTGCACCCTGTATATATTATTATATTTACCGGGTGTACTATATATAACGTTTATATCAAAAAGAAATCATAACGAATAAAAAAAAATCCATTAACTGCAGGAAAATATATAGCAGGGAAAATTGTTACCATTGAACTGGTAAATATTTTCTCGTTCAGAAATCTCTAAGAAAACATTCCTGGAAGACTAAAAGGTACGTGAATCCGTTCTTTACTTTCGTCATTTGTGGATCGTAACGTTGTGCTTCATTTACGCATTTCTCTGCATGTGACTGAGTGATTTTTGTGTATCAATCCTTGTGTGTGGTTTTCGCCATATGCGTAGGAGAGCGCATGCGTATGCGTATTGTTATTTGCATGAAACCAGAGAGGAGGCAATAAAACTGACCTCTCACCTAACTTTTGTTAGATTTAAGCAACATATCTTGGAGGAACTGTACCTTCTCTCAGAGCCATCGTCCCTTAGACATAATTTCTTGCCCATAGGAGAAAGCCGTAAGGAATAACGAAATTAAATCCATTGTCCATTCAAACAAATAAAAATACGAGTGTGACTGGAGAATAAATGGAGTCATATATATGACAAAGAATATCTTAAAGGCAAATTCCTTCATCTCACAAAATTCAAGCAAATTTCTGCAAACCATCATAAACCTATTCAATGAAAGGGGAATAAGTGGATTAAAACGTCGGAACTTCCTAAAAAGTTTTTCCTATCTATCTATCTATCTATCTATCTATCTATCTATCTATCTATCTATCTATCTATCTCATGTCAGATTTTATTATGTTAATTAATATATTTGCAATAGATTTTTACTTATCTATCTATCTATCTATCTATCTATCTATCTATCTAATGTCAGATTTTATTATGCTAATCAATATATTCGCAATAGATATTTTCTTATCTATCTAATGTCCGATATTATTATCATAATCAACATATTTGCAATAGATTTTTTCTTATCTATCTATCTATCTATTTATCTCATGTCAGATTTTATACTAATCAACGTATATGCAATAGATTTTTATCTATATCTAGCTATCTATCTAATGTCAGATTCTATTATGCTAATCAACATATTTGCAATAGATTTGTTCATATCTATCTATCTATCTATCTATCTATCTATCTATCTATCTATGTCGGATTTTATTATGCTAAATATATTCGCAATAGATTTTTTCTTATCTATCTATCTATCTATCTATCTATCTATCTATCTCAATCTGTTCATATATTTGTTACAATACCTCTGTAAATTTAAATAACTATCTTACGGCCACATGCTGTTGAAACAACGATTCCCGTACGATCAACGGAAGTTAAGCAACGTCGATCCTGGTAAGTACTCAGATGGATTAACGTTTGGGATTACTAGCTCCTGTGGGCTTGGATGTGGATAAAAGCTTGTAATTGTTAATCGGAGAACCGAGTTCCAATTATCGTTGGGTTCGTTATATTCACTTCCGCGCAAATACCTTTGGGAAATGTATGAATCCACCTTGTCTCCCCCCAGCTATATGTGAAATAATAAGACTTATAACACTATTCCATTATTATCTAAAAAAAATGCTTACAATCTAATGCTAAGTTATGGCTTTAAATAACCTCCAAATTGTTGATAAGCCATAGAAAACGAATCTATCTATCTATCTATCTATCTATCTATCTCAGTCTGTTCATATCTATCTATCTATCTATCTATCTATCTATCTATCTATCTATCTATCTATCTCAGTCTGTTCATATCTATCTATCTATCTATAAAGAAATATAGAGGGAGATAGAAGAGTTGTTTAGTTTGATAAAAGGTCACATAATTTGAAGAAATAGATAGTTTACTGCTCTTATAAATTGTGTATAATCCTCAATGTAATCTTCTGGTTGATGTTTTGAAAATTAATAAGAAAAAACATAGCTAGTTATTCTATCGATCGAGTTCCATATATATATATATATATATATATATATATATATATATATATATATATATATATATTCAGTGTTGATTGAAATTATGTTTTACAGATAAAGTCTCTGTAAAACAACAATCAATCTGTCATCACCTGTCAACAGTTGTCAATCATGTAAAACGTGGCTACTGTTGATTAAAACACACCTACTGTCGGGTTAAAAAATGCATTTCTGCAATATTTTATATTTAAAGTAAATAATATATTTCAAATCAGATTAATTATACTTTAAATCAGCTAATATTCCTCAAATGAAGATTTAGAAAACTATATTTTATTTTGAAAGATTTTTTTAATAAAAAGAATCACATTGCTATAAAAGACCACGAAAAAAGATCCCTAATCTGCTATTTTAGAAAAATAAAAAAAATCTCTTACCAGTCAATTTAAATTAGTTTTGAAATACAGCAACGTATTTTTCTTATTGGAAATATTAAATCTAATCTATGACTTTGAAATTAAAATTGAAATAAAATCTTCACGTAAGATTTTTTCATTTTTAAAAATTCATTTTAAATCTTAGGTATCGCCTTCTCTGTGGTGGTACCTATAGTCACCGACAATTTCAAAATGTAACGTCAGAACAGTGTACGAATTCCCACTAAACGTTAACTGCCTACAAAATAACATAATATACCAGAATTTTTAGTTCAAAAGGAAGACAAGAAAAATAGGAATAGAAGAAGCTACTCAAAGAAATAATCATTTAGAAAAAGAGAACATTTGCAAATAGAACAATTCTATCAAGACATATATGGAAGTTTAAAAAACATAAACCAATATACACCCAGAATAGCATGGAAAATAAAGAAAACAGTACCAGCTCACAACAAGATCTCAAAACTATGTAGCTTTTGTCGAGAGGAGCAAATAACAGTTTTTACCTTTCCAGAATAAGGTAAACAAAAGGGCGTATTGCAAAATGCAGACAGAAAATAAATTCCTACGACGCTACCTAAAGCAGACCAAATAAAATTCCATATCCTTGTTCTAATAAACTTTACCTACAATATGAACATTTAGAACCGAAGAATACAGACAATTAAATAATTGAAATAAATAAATAAATTTAAGATAATAAAGAGGTAAAATAATAAATATAACAAAAAGATAAATAAATGCCATTACTATAAACAACTTAAAGCATTAGACCTAACATAAGTTTACTCCTTCGCATACTAGAACCCGCGAAAAGAGTAGTGGTTTATGGTTGGAAGTTCGGTTGAGATTTTAAACTGACAATTATAGTTATGCAGTATTGATTTATATATCTATTATCTCTCACACACCACTTCCTTCTCCCTCATGCTCGGTCCACCTCTCATTCTCTCTCTTTGTCTATATGTCTGTCTGTCTCTCCATATATATATATATATATATATATATATATATATATATATATATATATATATATACCAGGATGCGCATTAATTTATATTTATGAAGCAATACACGAAATTGAGCTGAAAACCTCCCCGGCTCGGCATACTTCCTAAAATCTAATTAAGCATACAAGAGATTTGTTTACCTAGTTCTTAGAGAAACACACTCGAACACATGGTCTTTCTCTTTTACTCTTTTCGTATGCTTTATCTCTCTATTCACCCCCCCATATATATATATATATATATATATATATATATATATATACACATGCATAAGTCAGACATTTTTATTATTTGCAACCTCATATTGGATACACGTAATTGAAATAGAGGCACTATTTTTATTGTTATTTTAAATAGTGTGTATTATTTACACTATTCACATTGTTTGGACTGTTTTCCATATTCCCGACGTTTCGGTCGTTGTACGCTCCGGCCTTCTTCAGATGATTACAATTTCGAACCGAACCCTTTATTTCGTCCACCGGGGTACATTGTTCTAGTTCCACGTACCATGCCTCTTCCAGATTTCTCAGTATCAGTTATCTCCCTTTAATTCAAGGACGAATTGCGCAGTGGATAAGAGTTGTGAGTTCAATATCAGTCTACAGCAGAGGTGAGCAAAAACTTGGGGAGTTGAGTTGCAACTAGGACAACAGCACGAACAATGTAAATAGTATAAATAATTACAATACCTAATCTCAGAAATTTAAACAGGTAGTGCGTATTACGTCTATCGGCCACACACACACACACTTTACTTTAAATCTGGCATTTTTATTGCTTGAAACGTTATTATAGTGGATACTCGTAATTGAAACAGACGACCCATTTGATGTTTTATTTTAAACAGTGTGTATTATGGCTATCGTCTGGTGGATTTAAAAAAATCTTTATAAAGGAAATGTCTTCTTCAGCACAGATCGACAGGCTTTGTTTTAAAAACCGCCATTTGAACCAGCATGCTTTACGATTCGGATACAGAGAGCGTCACATTACAGGAAGAACCCAGATAAAACGGCAGTACCTCTTAGAATGGGAACAAGAAATAAGAATTATTTTGTATTTCTTTACTAGAAATTCTAGAATATCGAATGCAAACATTTGTGGATACCGAGCGGTTTCGGATCAACAATTAACAGTATTCAAGCATTTTTGTTTATACATTTTTTTAAAGCATTACGCCCCGAGCACCTAGGATGCAGGGGGGTGCCGAAGATTTGGAGCGAGAGCAGATAGGAGTGATAGAAGAAAGGAAGAGGAGAAGGATAGTGGATAGATCAAGGTGACTGGAGATGTCGATTGACATTACATTTAAATAGTTGAAGACTATAAATCTCAGGGAAATAGTAATAGGGAAGGGTGTTCCACAGGTGAGAGGTGCTATTGGAGTAGAAGAGACGGCTACATTTAAAAGTTTCTACAGTGAAAGGGTGAGAGCGGGATGCTAGCCTCGTAGGGCGCTTGAATTCATGGAGTTTGGGAACCAGTGAAAGCAGCTCATCGGAGCAATTACCATGAAATTATTTGTAAAAAAGACAGAGAGAGGCGATGACGCATCTGTGAGAGAGTGACTGTAGACGAGATGCCAGATCAGGGCCAATTACATTACATATCCGCCTCTGGATCTTGTCAAGAACTCCGAGCTAAACAGAAGGTGCACCAGACCATATATGGCAGCAATACTCCATGCAAGGGCGAATGGTTGATTTGTAGATTTGAAGTATCGATCCCGGGGAGAAAAATTTCCTGGTGCGGCACAGAGAGCCAACTTTCCTTGCGATGGACGAAACAATTGACTCAATCTATTTGTTCCATCTCAGGTCAGCAGTCAACGTGAGACCGAGCAGACGCAGAGAGTTGCTCTCAAGAAGTTGACTATCAGACATTCTAATGGGGGCGCAGGGAAGGATCTCTATGATGATTAATAGAGACTAGTTTAGTTTTTGAGGCGTTAAAGTTGACCAGCCAGTTCTTGCCCCAATTAACAACCGATTGGAGGTCCATTTCAAGACGAGCAGCCAGGTTAGTTTTGTCAACGACACTAAATTTGCTTTTGAGGCAGGAGTAAATTGTAGTGTCGTCCGCGTAGGTGCCAACTTGGGAATCTCTGGCGTCAGGAAGGTCGTTGATGAAAATAAGGAATAGAGTGGGGCCAAGGATGGAGCCTTGGGGAACACCTGCGTTCGTGGGATAGGAACTGGAGGGTAATCCGTTGAGAACGACCTTCAATTCACGGTTTGACAGGAATGATTGTATTAGATCAAACAGTCGACCTGTAATACCATAACCCCGGAGCTTGCGAAGAAGGCCGGCATTCCAAACCCTATCAAACGCTTTGGAGATGTTTAGGTCCACGACACGAGCCTCACCGTTATTTTGAAGGGCTTGGTAGACGGTTTCAGTGATGGCCGTAAGCACATCAGCTGTAGATCGGGCGTAGCGGAAACCATATTGCTTGTCTGAGTGCAGGTCGTGTGAGGTAAGGTGGTTAACCTGATTAGGGCTTCGAAGACTTTGCCGAAGAGGGATAGGAGACTAATAGGACGGTAATTAGAGGGTTCAGAAGGGTCTTCAGAGTGCTTAAAGGCAGGAACAATGGATGGGGACTTCCAGCAGTCAGGAAAACAGGATTCCTTGAGGCAGTAATTATACAGTTTAGAGAGGGCGGGCGCTAGCTCAGGCGCATATTTCTTCAAGACAATGGCTGGTATGCCATCTCCACCACTAGCCTTGTTGGGGTCTAAATTGGAGATAATGCCCAATATCAATGACGGGGTTATGTGTAACTCGCTCAATAGGGCCTCAGTTCTTAGAGGGAAGACTGGTATGGGTACACCGGAGGAGTCGAGCGTTGAATTAAATGAGAATTTCCGAACTTGTCGGTAGAGGAGGTCAAGACCTCGAACTGGTTGAACAAAGGAGGTATGGAGGTTTTTCTATTGTTCAGGACACTCTTGCAGAGCCGCCAATAATCTTTGGAGACAAATTTGCGAGATGCAATACGCTCCTTCATCCGAGCAGCAAATATTGACTTAGCTTCATTGAGGACACGCTTACACTCGTTACGGGCGGAGGCAAAGAGACGTCTATTGCAGTCCGACATGTCGCTACGAAATAGGTGAATGAAGTGGTTCCTATGGGCAATGGTGGCTGAGCAAGCAGCGGAGAACCAAGGGGAGGAGTGCGACTTGACCGTAAATTTCCTTGAGGGGATGAAAGCGTCGATTCCAGCTTTAACCAGGATGAGACCTCAGAAGCACATTCTTGGGCAGGGAGTGTAAAGACAAAATCCCAGGAGACATCGCGGAGGAAGTCACGGGTCGAGTCCCAATCCGCTCGTTGATAGCAGAACGAGGTTCTAGTGATAGGAGGTTCCTTGCGGGCGGTGGAGTTGAAGGAAATGTTAACAGATACTA